AAGACAGACAGACAGACAGACAGACAGACAGACAGACAGACAGACAGACAGACAGACAGACAGACAGACAGACAGACAGACAGACAGAGAGAAACAGTGATAGGCAGAGTAAAGAGAGCCACGGAGAGACACAGAGTGGTAAGTTGCGCGTAAGTTGCGCGAGAGAGACAGACAGAGAGAGGCAGTGAGAGCGACAAAGAGGTGATAAAGAGAAAAATTTTAAAGGGGGGGGGGAGGGCGGTAGGGGTAGAGATTTGGGGAGGGGAGACCCAGAGTCTCCTGTAGAGTTCCTTCTGTTTAAGTAGAAAAAAAATTATGTGACCCTTAACGTCAAAACATGATATGCGGCAATGCATGAAAACTGAACATGGAGAATGGTAGCACCACTCAGCACAACAAAGAGCTATCACTTCTTTCTCGGTCTATGCTTTTGGAAACTCTGTAATCTCACGTATTTGTAAAAGGTTAGGTAACCCTTGCGTTGGCATGCGTTTCTACTTGTGCAGTCCCTCTGTTCTACATTGCACTTGTAATATTGATTATCAACAGGATTTAAATTAAATACAAAAATAATTGTTATGATTCCATTGCTGTTTGTTCAGCTATAAAAATATTTTTGTTGTTTGGGAAACTTAAGAATTAAAACAAATTGTTGTCAAATGTGGCCATATTTTGGCTACTTTATGCACAAGGCTGTTATTATCACTCGTTTCGTTTTTGTTAATTGTGTTTTTGTTTGGCCAGTGTGCTCGAAGGAAAACAATAAAGTCGAACGTGCTCTAACAAACACCTGTCCAAGACAATCACTCTTATAATGACCATATCTCTTTCTCCCCCCATGAGTTTTCTCTATATTTTTAGGGCACTGTTCAATAGGATCACTTGCTTTAGCAGATGACTATTTTCTCTTCGACCGTAACTGATAGCATTGAACAGATCCCACTATACTGTCTCCATTTTCTTTTTAGTAAGAGTTTTACGGCATTGGCAACACTATACGGTCACATAAGTGCCGAAGTCTAGAGATGTTACAATAGAGTGACAGACACAAAACAGAAAGAGGGGAGATAAGGACGATAGATGTTTGATAGGCAAGAAGTAACAAACCACACTAGAGCACCCGAACACCCACATGCTGTCTCCTACTGAGAAAGGGTGTCTTTATTATTTGCAGGTATTGTTGTCATGTTATCAAATAATTTTTTTTAAAGTAATACCAAGCAACAGATCAGTGCTTGAAGATCTTCATCCAATGCTATCGTGGAAATAAAAAAAAGATGTCAGTTCGATGATAAGTCTACGTTCAGAACAAGTTCAAGATCATGTAACTCAGAGGTCTCAAAACTGGCCTCCGAGGTCTGTTCGTCTGGCCCCTTGTCATATTATATGCCACCAAGCGGGAAAATGAAAACTTGGAATCTCAAACCGATCTTCAGAAGGTGTAAGAAAAAAATGCGTGCTTGAGAAGGCACCTGCCTATTGGTGTTTTCAAAGTCCAACTTCCATAATCATTCCTTCCTTCACACTCTCTCTACGTAACTAAATCTCATTTTCCTCTTTCTGACCTACCATACAGCCTATCACTAGCTCCTGGCCTGGTGGAGTAGGTTAGCTCTAACAATTGTCACTAGAACGGAAACTGAGTCCACAATTTGGGCAACTGTTTCGTGACAAAAAGATGTTGGTTCCACTAAGAACGGGATAGAGGGTGCCCATTTCGTGATTCAATGGAGCAGAGGAAGATAGGGCAAACGTTAACTTCAAGAAACACATTTCTGAAACTGTATAGTGTTTCTTCCTTTTAACTTCATTACGGTCGTCTGCTTCTAATCGCTAATTATGGTCTTTATTCTCTTCTATGCCATACCACTATCAACCTCATCATCTGTAACGTCTCCAATATCACAACGTCACAACAGTCTACCAAATACAACATTGACTTATCACAACCGTTTGTCTGACTCTCTCTCTCTCTCTGTCTCTCTCTCTCTCTCTTTCTCTCTTTTTCTCTCTCTTTCTCTCTCTTTCTCTCTCTCTATCCCCCCCCCCTCTCTCTCTCTCTCTCTCTCTCTCTCTCTCTCTCTCTCTCTCTCTCTCTCTTTCTCTCTCTTTCTCTTGCCTATTTAACTTCGATCCAGTGAAGCATAGGCCATCAACAACATTACTCCAGTGAAGCTTGTCCTGAGCAACCTTTTCTAGCAGTTTCCATGATGTCCAAGTCCTTTCTATTTCGCTTGTACCGCTCGCCTATATGTCATCTTTTGGTCTTCCTTTCTTACGTTTCCTTGTGGATTCCACGTCAAAACCTGACTACTAAAACTACTAAAACTAACATCATCTGCGAAGCGTTTTACTAATCAGATGACGTCAAGCTGTTATGATTGGGCAAGGGGAAAAAAAGAACTTGGAAGATAAAGTGTTAGTGTTGAGCTAAAGACTTAATAACCACAATATCTAACTTGCTTACTTTCGAACATACTTTTACAGACCTTATAAGCGGGTGGCTGACTTGTGTTCTGGTATGGTTTGCTCTTTTTTTAAAATCAAACATCTATCGTCATTATCTCTTCTCCTCTTTCTGTTTATGCTTGTTACTTTCTTGTATCACCTCTAATCTTCGGCACTTTTGTGACCTTGTTGGTATTTTCCTCTTGAACAAAATAAAATGTAGAAAAATACAATACTATCATCACATAAAACGTCATGAGAGCTTTTTGAAAGAAGTGGTTGAAGGAAAGATGTGGAGCAGGAGAGCCAGAGGAATGCAAAGAACAACATGGATGGACAACATAAGAAACGTGGATTGGCCTGGATATTGCAAAATGTACAAAGGCAGCTCGCGACCAAGAAAGATGGAGGGTCATCACACGTCAACCTCAGAGTCAGACATGACACCTCCAGGTATCCAGGTATTGTGTTGTATGTGCGGTAAAGCGTTCACTAAAACTAAACTAAAAGACTTAACAACTTCCAACTAATTTATTTTTGAGAAAGTTCGTAATATGTGTATCGATAGATTAAAAGAAAGGTTTTTAATATATATTTTTTTTCATTCAGTGTAATGTATTGAGCAAAATAATCATTCAGCCCACATTCAGCATTGTCTCAGTCATCCGACCCACTTTGAATTTATTGACCCATGGTTTAATTAAATGTAGTTAAACATTTAAGAAATAACCGATAATTATCGCCCACATTACGATACATAACACTTATCTCGGCGTCTGCGATAGAACAAACAGCACAGATGAAATAATCTTGCTGGAAATGTTTTAGTTTTAGACAATCTTTGACAATATTAGTGAGGCATCGTGGTCAAATCAGGCGCTCGTCAAAATAGCAAAATTGGAGAAACAGGCCTTTTCCCACCAGTTTCGCAATTTCAATCAAATTTTGTGATGTTTTTTATTTAAACCTTTTATGTACAAATAAAAACACATTTCCATGTGCATTATATTGAAAAACGTTGATTAAAAGGTCAAAATATATAATTTTTCACGTTTTCAAGAACTCTTTAGCTATTGAAGTTACCAAGCTTTGGAGGCCATTTTCTATCTTTTCTTGCCGCTAAAACCAAGTGAACTTACCTCTTCCATTCACAAATACCTTCACTTTTGCTGAAGATAGATAGGTAATTTTTTAAAATCAAAAGCAAGATAAATAAACACGCATTAAGATGAGACCAATAACTTCACATGCACAAAAATTGCGAGCACCTGATTCCACCGCGTTGCAGGTCACGGTGCTCCCTGAAAAACAATACAGCCAAACTTCCTCTGACGTAAACCTGTCTAAGATAATCACACGTACAATCAATCACTTTTCACCCCACCCCACCCCACCCCAACCAAACACACACACACACACAC